AGTGATAAAGTCCAGATTGGAATACCAGCCTTCAGACTTCAAGTCCAGTGCTCTTTACACTGCTACCACGTGCACTGCTGCAGTCCGTACTGTGTGCCAGGCCTCCAGGGGGTGCACTGCCCTTGAGCGTATCCAGCTAGTCTGCTGGCCTGACAGCTCCTCAAGGACTGGCCCAGTGTCTCATTTGCTTGAGTCCTTGCACTGATCAGCCCATGCCAGGAGGATATTACAGCTGGTGCCCGTGACAACATTGGGCACGTTGCTTAGGATGTTATACAGATGATCTCAGCTAGCAGAACTACGGAAACCCTGGCTCAGGAATGAGTCCATTGCTCTCAAAACCCCACCAGCTAGGTGCTATTCCAGATGAGAAGAGAGCAGCTCAGAGAGATGACACACAGCTAGTCTAAGCCACAGTCTGAATCCAAAACCCATGCACTTAACCCTGTGCCCTGTTCTAACTGCCATGGTGGCCAAGTGCCCGGGTGTTGTCAGCTGAGTGACTCAAGAAATGTAAGACACGAATGCACATTACCATGTAGCATATGCCACACGGCCATGCAAGAACGGTCTCATTGCAGTGCTCAGGCTCTCCAAGAGAAGAGTAGTTTTTGAAGGATTTGGAAGGCTTCATGGAGGAGGTGCTCTTTGAATTAGGTTTTTAAGTATGGGGAGGATTTACAGAAGTGAAAAGGAGAAGGGTTCTCTAGGTGGCAGGCACAGAGTTGGGAAGGTATATAGCGCATTCCTTGCTGGGCACAGGGAGATGGAATCCAGGAGGCCGTTGGGGAGGAGACACATTTGAGCACATCTACCTGCCTTTGAGGTGATTTGCACGTTTTAAGAAGCAGAAATGAGGGGCTGGAGAGAGTATCTGTGAGCCCCTTCTGAAACCCCCTCTTGTAGGTGTACCTTGTTGGCCATGTGCCCCCGGGGTTCTTCGAAAAGACGGAAAACAAGGCATGGTTCCGGCAGGGCTTCAACGAGAAGTACCTGAAGGTGGTGCGGAAGCATCATCGCGTCATATCAGGGCAGTTCTTTGGGCACCACCACACCGACAGCTTTCGGATGCTCTATGATGACGCAGGTATTTAGCCTGGAGGGCAACTGGCAGCTCTGTCCCTCCTTCTCTCCCCAGACCCTCTCAGTCCTGCTGTCTCTCTCCTGACAGGGTCCCCCATAAGCACCATGTTCATCACACCTGGAGTCACCCCATGGAAAACCACATTACCTGGAGTGGTCAATGGGGCCAACAATCCAGCCATCCGGGTATTCGAATATGACCGAACCACACTGAGCCTGAAGGTCAGTGGTCCTGTGGAGGCCAGAGGAGGAGGGCTGGAGGGGCTTAAACGTATCACTGCCTTCCCTAACTCTCAGCTTTTCCACCCTCCCCTGACCACTGAGCCTCAGGAAGGTCGATTTCCTTCCACCCTTCTCCAGCTCAGGGTCAGAACCCTGGAGGCACCTGCCACCAAGTCAGGGCACTGTTTTCCCAAGTCTCCTTTTCCCCTGATGACTGTCACAGCCTCATACCTGGTCTCCCTGCCTCCGGCCCTGCCCTGCTATGGCCCATCTGCTACACACGATAGAAGAAACGAATCTTCTATAGCACCACTTTCATCTTGTTTCTGTCCTGCTCAAAAACCTTCAATGGCTCCCCAGTGCCCTCAAGGTAAAGTTGTGTCTCTTTGGTGTAGTACTCAAGGCTTCCCACAGTCTGACCTCAGGCCCATTGTCCACCTTTTCCATACACAGACAAGGCTGCAGGCCCTAATTCATCGAACAATCCCTCACCTCTTAGGATGAACTTGTGGTTGTTGAGATGAAAAAAAGTATTCCTTTATTTAGCCAACAAAATGCATTAAGTCTGCACCATGTGCCAGGCCCTTTTCTAATCTCAGGAGATGTGTAAATGTACACAGCAAAGTCACCCCTCTCTTGAACCTGACATCTTACAGGAGAGGAACAATAAATATGTAAAATTAATTATGGCACAGACAGAAGGGCTAAGCAGAAAATCAAAACAGTGACAGCTGTAGGTGGTGTGTATTGTGTTAGGTAGGTGGGCAGGGGAAAGTGTCCACATAAGGTGCCATTTGAGTTCTGAGTGTATTGAGGGAGTGAGTCATGTGGGTATCTGGAGGAGGAGGAGGGAACAGCAAGTCAAAGGCCGCAGGGTGGGCATGTGCTTGGCGGGTCAGGGGAAGAGCATGGAGACCAGGTGGTCAGAGTGGGAGGCACAGAGGAGAGTGGGAAAGGAGGTCAGATCATGCAGGCCACAATGAGGACTCTGGATTTGGAGGATTTGGTGCAGAAGAATGAAGCTCTGTGACTTATAATTTTACAGAATCATCACGTCCGCCATGCAGGGAGCAGGCTGTAGGGGTAGGCAGGGAAGCAGTGAGGCACTTAGGAGGGAAGGACACACCCCAGCTGACAGGATGGTGGCTTGGCCAGGGTGGAGGCAGTGGGTGGTGCGAAGTGCCAGGACCTGGATGAATTTTGGAGGCAGGTTTGCTGCTAGAGTGGATGTGGGCAGTGAGAGAAAGGGATGAATACAGGAGGCTTCCAAGGCTTTGGCCTGTGCCATGGAAAGGCCGTGGCTGCTGGTTACTAAAATCAGTGGCAGGGGGATCAGGCTTCAGAAGGTCAGTCAGAGGTCTGGTTTTAGACCTGTCAACTTTGGGATAGCTAAATGGCATCAAGCGAAAGTGGCCAGGGAGGAGGCAAGTTGGAGCCTGAAGAGCTGAGGATAGAGAGGTGATCTGGGAGTGGTGAGGACATTTCGAGCCAGGGCCTGGATGAGCTAACCCAGGTCCTTGAGTCTAGTAAATGTAGATTAAGAAGAGATCCGAGGGGTTTTAAGGGAGGCCTGTTGTCCACATGGGCACTCCGAGGGTCTGAGCAAGGGAATGGCAGGCTGAGGGGCCCCAACCCCCACCCTCAAACAGGCCCTACATTCTTCTCAGGGAGGGAGTCAGCCCTGAGGTTGAATCCTGGCTCCACCACTCACAAGCTTTTTGAGCTTTTGACCTCTGTGCCTCACTTGCTTCATCTGTAAAATGGGAGTCACAGAAGCTCACGGGGTTTGGGGAAGACTACATGAAATAATGGAATGTGCCTGGCCCAGAGTAGCCATTCACACGGGTGGCTCCTCTTATCCCACCTGCAGTGGCCTGAAGCAGGTTCATAAATGTACCTGGAATCTGTTGGACTGATGAACCCTGCAGAGTCTAGCCGTGAACATGCACCTGGGCCCGGGGGGTCTACAGTTCATAACCTCTCTCAGCCTCTCATGCTTCATGCCAGTCTTTTTTTTTTTTTTTTTTTTTTTTTTTTTTTTTTTTTTTTTTTTTTATGAGACGGAGTTTCGCTCTTGTTGCCCAGGCTGGAGTGCAATGGCGCGATCTCGGCTCACCGCAACCTCCGCCTCCTGGGCTCAGGCAATTCTCCTGCCTCAGCCTCCTAAGTAGCTGGGATTACAGGCACGCGCCACCATGCCCAGCTGTTTTTTGTATTTTTAGTAGAGACGGGGTTTCACCATGTTGATCAGGATGGTCTCGATCTCTTGACCTCGTGATCCACCCGCCTCGGCCTCCCAAAGTGCTGGGATTACAGGCTTGAGCCACCGCGCCCGGCCTCATGCCAGTCTTTTACATTGCTTTTATCTATTCATTATGTAAATATTTACTGAGCATCTTCTGCGTGTCCCCTATCGTGGTGGGACAGGAAATGCACAGGCTGGGGGTAAACAACCTGGATTCCAATCCTGCCTCTGCCACTGAATACCTATATGACCCTGGCCAAGTGAGTTAACCTCTTTAGGCCTCAGTTTCCTCATTTGTGAAACACTGGGTGCGCAGCTAAATGCTCAGTAACTTGTAGTGGTCATGATCACTGCTTTGAAGAACATGGGGGCAAATGTGAGGTGCAGGACGGGGATGGAAGCAGACAGCTGCTCACAGCCGGCCCGCCCCGCCCCCTTTCTCCAGGACATGGTGACTTACTTTATGAACCTGAGCCAGGCGAATGCTCTGGGGAAGCCGCGCTGGGAGCTTGAGTACCGGCTGACCGAGGCCTTCGGGGTGCCGGACGCCAGCGCCCGCTCCATGGAGGCAGCGCTGGATCGCATTGCCGGCGACCAGGGCGCACTGCAGCGCTACTATGCCTACAACTCGGTCAGCTACGATGCTGGGATCTGCGATGAGGCCTGCAGCACGCAGCATGTGTGTGCCATGCGCCAGATGGACTTCGATGCCTACACTGCCTGCCTGTATGCCTCGGGCGCCGACCCCGTGCCCCAGCTCCCGCTGCTACTGGCGGCCCTGCTGGGCCTGTGCTCACTAGCGCTGTGACCCACCGGGCTCACCTTCCTCCTGGTAATGGGTAACGGGGATAGCGCCCAGGGCCATCCAGAGCTGGGCTTTCTGCCATTTCCTCCGCGCCTGCGGAGTGAACTTAAATAGGACAACGGATCAGGGAGTGAAGCCCCAGGAGCCTGCAGTGATCCGTGATCGCGCCAGTGCACTCCAGCCTGGGCAACAGAGCCAGACCCTCCAAAAACGAACCAGAAACAGAAATGAAGTCCCAAGACCCCCCTCTTAGAAGCACATTTCTTTGGTGTTTTATGTTTTATTCACAAAACAAAGCTCGTCGGTTTGATTCTGTGTTGTATTCCTTATCTTCGTTTCTTTTTTCTTTTCTTTCTTTTGAGACAGTCTCCCTCTACCCCCCAGGCTAGGGTGCAGTGGTGCGATCTCGGCTTACTGCAACCTCCACCTCCCGGGTTCAAGCGATTCTCCTGCCTCAGCCTCCCTAGTAGCCGGGATTACAGGCGCGTGCCACCACGCCCAACTAATTTGTATTTTTAGTAGAGGCGGGGTTTTGCTATCTTGGTGAGGCTGGTCTCGAACTCCTGACTTCAGGTGAGCTGCCTGTCTGGGCCTCCCAAAGTGTTGGGATTACAGGCCTGAGCCACTGCGCCAGGCCTGTATTCCTTTTCGTATGGAAATGAGGTTAACGCATTCGCTGGAACCGAACGCCCTCCCCTCCCCCCACTCGGGTCGTTGGCGTGAACTCAGCCTCCCAGTGCCCTCCGTGTATCTCCCGATCCAGGCGCACGCATTGTTGCAAAGTCCTGCACTTAGGGATGAGAATGTGCCTTTGCGTTTCGTTACTTTGTTTTGCAACAATGCTGGTGTGAGGGATCGAAGTCCTAGCTTGGGCTCTCGCCCTCTTAGCTTTCTTGGGCCTCTGGGCGCCTCAAACGTAAAACTAGGCCGTTTGAAGCCTGCCAAGCGAAGGTCTGTTGGTCTGCAGACTTGGCTGGGCTGGATCAGGGGGTCCCCTGGGCAGGCGGCGGAAGCAGAGTCTCGGCGGCGTTGGGTTACGGGAGGGTCTGAGTGGGGGACTTGGGACAGCCGCGGGCCTCGCTCCTCCCCGGACGGGGCGGGACGGGGAAGTCCCGCCCAGCAGGCCCAAGCCCTTCAACGCCCCGAGGGCTGCGTCCGCCTCCTTCCTGCCACTGCGACGCCGGGCCCCGAGGATAGGCCCCTGTCGCAGAGGAGGTGGAGGGGGCAGAAGCTGGCGGGCTATGCCCGGGTCGACCCGCCCCGCCCTCCTTTGGGACCTGGTACTGGGCGTACTGGGCACCGCCGCCTTCCTGCTCGACCTGGGCGCCGACCTGTGGGCCGCCGTCCAGTATGCGCTCGGCGGCCGCTACCTGTGGGCGGGTCTGGTGCTGGCGCTGCTGGGGCTGGCCTCGGTGGCGATGCAGCTCTTCAGCTGGCTCTGGCTGCGCGGCGACCCCGTCGACCTGCACGGGTCGCAGCCCCAGCGCCGCTGCCTGGCGCTGCTGCATCTCCTGCAGTTGGGCTACCTGTACAGGTGAGTGCCCCGCTCCGGGAGGGGAGGAGGATCAGAGCCCAGCACCTCCGTCAGCTGGGTCACCTGTGCTAAGAAGCAGCTTAGAAAACAGGAGAACAGGCTTTAGTCAGGCAGATCTGGCTCGAAACCTTAAGTCACTCTGCAGCTGTTTGAGTTTGGACAAATGCCTTGACCTGTCTTGAGTGTACAGGTGACACACCAGATGCTGGGAAAGTGACAGGGAGAGGGAACCAAGTCCTGTGGTTGCCTGGCCTACAGGTGAGCGTGCAGCCCTTTACAGAAAGAGAATCCCAGTAGACTGCCTTCATCCTAGCCCTACTTTTCCTGGCACAGGTGAAGAAACCGAGGCCCAGGTAAGAAAGAGAGGCACATGGGCTTTGAAGTCAGACCTCTCTGGGATCCACTTCTGGCTTCGCCCCACGTCTGCATTTCTCTAAACTTCAGTTTCCTCCTCCACAGAAAGGAGGTAGTCACTCCAAGCAGGTGTGACAAGCAGGCCTGTTGTGAGGAGTGAGTGAAAGAGTGAGAAAGTGCATTGCACAGTGTCCGGCCTGGAATGGCAGGGGCAGCACACTCAGTTCCACACCCCATGTTTCAGAATGGGCAGGGCCTTGGGAAGTCACTGACCTCTCTGCGGCTTTTTGGTCACTGTTCCAGTGGGGACAGAATAGCGCCTGCCTGGTGAAGATGAAGTGAAATGACTCCTGTCCGCTGCCCTGGCTCAGAGTGACCACTCAGCAACCTCAGCTCACTTCGTGATGGCCTGGGCCTTACTAGGAGTTTCGGCAGCCCTGACCCCATGGCTTGTCCCTCACAAAGGCCACCTCTCATTCTGTCTGCCCGGTTGTATTCTCCCTGAACCTTGACTTCCCACCCCAGATTCAGCAAGAGGGCAGAGATGGCTTCCAACTCATGGGCGTGGGCCCATGGAGCCAGCCAGGGCTGGGCACAGCTGGGTCATGGAAAATGTGTGGGGATTCTGCTCCTTTTTGGACCTGGTGGAGCCGTGTAGAGATGGGGAAGCTGAAACTTAGGGCTCAGAGGCATGCGATGAAGCCAGGGCATAGGGTGTGTGGGTTGGGATAGGTTGGCTGGGTCAGGATCTGCTCTTGAATCTGTTTTTACCAAGTCTTAAGATCTTGCCTTGACAAAGCTGCATGGGGTCTCCAGGAGTAGAGGAGAGGAGCTTTGAATGTGGCAGTTTTTGCCTGAGGGATTGTAGAGACATCAGAAAACCCTGGGTGGGCATGAAGGGATGCAGTTGTTAAGTCCTGGGCAGGCCTGATGAGCCCTCAATCCTGGACAACCTCATGCATCTTCGCTGCCCAGATTTCTGCTGAGCTTGAGTCAGACAGACTCTACTGGCTTTGGCTTTGGCAACGGGTTCTCTTTCCACCTGTGACTAGGCTGAGGCAGGGGCCCGTGCCAGGCCACTGGGGAACCTCTCTGCTGAGGGAGAGCCCCAGTCTGCCCCACCTGCCTGCTCCTCAGTGTGCTCTGGTCTGTCCAGGGGAAGTGACAGTAAATGTCTGGTGAGTGAGCTTGTGATGAATCACCGGGGTTCCCTCCCAACAGGCAACCTAGAGCAAAGTTCTGAGTGGATGGTCCTTGGTGCATCTTCCACTTACTCTTCATGCCAGTGGGTAGCCCAGGCCCGTCTGTCCAACCTCTGCACTCTCTTAACTCTGCCCCAGTCTCCATCCTTAACCACTCAGGGCCAGCCTCTTAAATGGGATACTCCGTCCAATCTAATCTTCCTCCAGCTCCTCCCTGTGTGGCCAGGGTAAGGCAGAGTCTGACCCCATCTGGTCTGTGCCCAGAAGTACCCAGTGGCTCCTCTTGCCCACAGGATCCCAGGAGATCTTGGACACACTAAAGTTTGAGAACTGCCTCAGGCAACTTTATAGCACGCCTTTCCATTTGGATCCAAATCCTCATTCCAGTGCTTAGTAGCTGCTTATAATTTTTTTTTTCAGACTACGCAAAGAGAATGTTTTCTTAAAGAGGTAGGGTCTAGCCAGGCATGGTGGCTCACACCTATAATCCCAACAGTCTGGGCGGCTGAGGTGGGGGAGCATTTGAGGTTGGGAGTTCGAGACCAGCCTGCTGAATATGGCAAAAGCTCATCTCTACTAGAAATACAAAAATTAGCCAGGTGTAGTGGCGCACGCCTGCAATCCCAACATCCCAGCTACTCAGGAAGTTGAGGCAGGAGAATTGCTTGAATCTGGGAGGTAGAGGTTGCAGTGAGCCAAGTTTGTGCCACTGCACTTCAGCCTGAGCAACAGGTGACAGAAGCAGACTCTGTCTCCGGGAAAAAAAAAAAAAAAAAGAGGCAAAGTCTCTGTTGCTCAAGCTGGAATGCAGTGGCACAATCATGGCTCACAGTGGCCTTGAACTTCTGGGCTCAAGTGATCCTCCTGCGTCGGCCTCCTAAGTAGCTTGGACTACAGGCTCGCACAACCATGCCCAACTGATTAAAAAAAATTCTTGGTAGACATGGGGCTTGCTGTGTTGCCCAGGCTAATCTCAAACTCCTGGCCTCCAGTGATCCTCTTGCCTTGGCCTCACAAAGTGTTGGGATTATAGGCGCGAGCCACTGCACCCAGCCCTTTTCTCGATTCTGTTTCCCCATTGTAAAATGGGCTCTTGTGAGAAGTCAACAGGACAAGGTTTGTGATGAGCTTGGGGCAGCGCCTGGCCAGCAGGAGTAGAAGGTGTATCGATCCTCATTTTACAAATGAAACAAGTTCAGTGAGGTTAGGACACTGCCGACGGCCCCACAGCATGGATGCAAGGAGCTGGGTGGGAGCCTGTGTACATTCATTAGATGGGTGGGAGGCTGAGGGCTTCACAGGACACTAACCTGGCCCTCTGGGCATCCGTGTGTGCTGCCTAGGTGCGTGCAGGGGCTGCGGCAGGGGCTGCTGGTGTGGCGGCAGGAGGAGCCCTCCGAGTTTGACTTGGCCTACGCGGACTTCCTCTCCCTGGACATCAGCATGCTGCGGCTCTTCGAGACCTTCTTGGAGACAACACCGCAGCTCACGCTGGTGCTGGCCATCATCCTGCAGAGCGGCCGGGCTGAGTGCTACCAGTGTGAGTGAAGGCCAGTGGCTGGTCCCCCTGTCAGAGCTTGGGGCGGGGGTCTCCCTCAAATGTCGGAGCTGTTTTTACTCTTTTATAAAGGCTGCTTAGAAACAGGAGAACGGGCTTTAGTCAGGCAGATCTGGCTTGAAACCTAAAGTCAAATGCCTTCACCTCTTTGAGTATGTTTGTTCTCATCTGAAAAATGGATATAAATACTCCTGCTGCATAAGGTTTATGAAAGGATTAAGTGAGGTGATGCAAAGAAAGCCCATTTCCTGGTACACAAGTTCCTGGTACAGAGTCTCACTGTCATGGCCGATACTGGAGCACAGCGGCCTGATCACGGCTCACTGCAGCTTGACCTCCCAAGCTCAAGTGATCCTCTCGTCTCAGCTTCTCGAATAGCTGGGACTGCAGGCGTGTGTCACCATGCTGGCTACTTTTTAATTTCTTTTTTGTAGAGATGAGGTCCCACTTTGTTACCCAGGCTGGTCTTGAACACCTGAGATGAAGTAATCTTCCTGCCTCAGCCTCCCAAGGTGATGGGATTACATGTGTCGGCCACTGTGCCTGGCCCACAAATCTTAATTGTAATTTTTACAATTTTGAAGATAACAGAGATAAAGTGTGTAAGGCGCCTGATACAGAGTGGGTAACTTTTTAGTTGAGAGACAATTGAACACGTTGGGAGGCTGAGGCGCACAGGTCGCTGGAGGCCAGAGTTCGAGACCATCCTGGGCAGCATAGTGAGACCTCATCTCAACAAAATTAAAAAAAAAAACAACAACCAACAAACAATATATTGAGCGCCTTCATCTAGTCAGATTTTCATTGTGCATCTCTTCTGTGCCTGTTACTGTACTGGGGACACAGCAGTGAACAAGATGAGCCCAGCCCCTGCCCTGCTAGGATGATAGACTCACACAAGTAGCCGTGGTACGACATGTTGAGTGACTGGAAAAGGGAGAGGCAGAAGGGAGAGGCGGGGGCAGGGGCTCGCAGGGCCCCTAAGCATGGGTGAAGTTTATAGTGAGGAGCTTTGGGAGGGTTTTTTTCCAGTAAAAGGAAAGTGACTTGCCCATTTTCCTTTTTTTTTGAGACGGAGTCTCGCTCTGTTGCCCCTGCTGGAGTGCAGTGGTGCAGTCTCAGCTCACTGCAACCTCCACCTCCCAGGTTCTCCTCTGCCTCAGCAGTTCTCTGCCTCAGCCTCCCGAGTAGCTAGGATTACGGGTGCCCGCCACTACGCCCGGCTAAGTTTTGTATTTTTAGTAGAGACGGGGTTTCACCATCTTGGCCAGGCTAGTCTTGAACTCCTGATCTCATGATCCACCTGCCTTGGCCTCCCAGAGTGCCGAGATTACAGGCACGAGCCACCGTGCCCAGCTGACTTGCCCATTTTCACAGACCCAGACAGTAGCCAAGCTAAATAGGGCCCCCGCTCACATCCGATTCAGGGTCCAGGGCTTCCCCTTTTCCTTCCTCCGTCGCTGCCGTAAATGCCACAGCCTCTCAAGGAAGCAGTCCCTACTCTACTGTCACTCGCTGTGTGTCCTGGAGAGCCCTCGTGTGGAAGATGAGGGTTAGACTCAATCTCCAAGGGTCCTTTCATCTTGCTACTCTGAGTCTATAATATTGATTGAAAAAACAGTAATAGCCATCACAATCGTGTGCCGGCTATAAGCCAGGCCCCGGGGGAAGCATTTACAGTCACCCTTGCTCATGTTCACAGCAGCCCTGTAGGTCTGTGCTATATTGATTTCCATTTTGTTTTTTGAGACGCAGTTTTACTCTTGTTGCCCAGGCTGGAGTGCAGTGGCGTGATCTTGGCTCACCGCAACCTCTGCCTCCCGGGTTCAAGCGATTTTCCTGCCTCAGCCTCCCGAGTAGCTGGGATTACAGGCATGCGCCACCATACCCGGCTAATTTTATATTTTTAGTAGAGACGGAGTTTCTCCATGTTGGTCAAACTCTCAACCTCAGGTGATCTGCCCGCCTCGGCCTCCCAAAGGGCTGGGATTACAGGCGTTAGCCACAGCTCCCAGCCTCCATCTCCATTTTTAGAGGTGCAGAAAGGTGAGTGACTTGCCCTGGGTCGTGTGGCACTCACTGGGCACGTTTTTGTCTGCTGAGGGTGGGGGGTGTTTAGAACTAGGACCTAGTGCAGACAGTCTGCACTGTGTGTGTGGTAGCGGGTATGGGGGACAGACAGATTTTCTCTACTTTTTATTTAGCAAACATTATCTTTCACTGCTGTTGAGTGCCAGGTACTGGGCTGCTGGGGGATCCCAAGTGAGCAGGGTCTGTTTTTTACCCTCAAGGAGCTCAGAGATAAGGAAATAGATAATTACTGTGTGATGAGACTGCAGACGAGGTGGGTGGCATGTTACAGGGATACCTGACCCAGCAGAGTGAGTGGTGTGGGGTCAGGGTGGGTGACCTAGGGCTCTTCAAGCTGGGGCTTACCGAGTAATGGAGGAGTAGGCCAGGGAAATGGGGCATGTGCTTGTGGTGACCTAACATCCTGGGCAAAGCTTGTTAAGGTCACGGAAGGTGGCATGCTGGGCAAACTGGAAGAACATCAGCCCTACTGAGACCTGGGCGAGGGTAACGGACAGATCTGATTCCAGGCTAGGAGTGGGTTCTGGGCACATAATAGGCTCCCAGTAAAGATCAGCCGAATGACTGCAGTGGACGGGGACAGGGGAGGAAGCAGTCGGAGACGTTCCGGTGCCACTTCCATCCCTCCCTGGAGGTCCTTGTGCTTCTGCTCCAGGATGGGCGACCAGGAGGTGGGATAGTACCCTAGGACCCCTGTCGTAAACTTCTGGATCTTAGAAAATCAAGACTAGGGGTCGGTCCGATGGCCTCTAGTCTTGAGGGGAAGGGAGTGGGGAGACCTTCTGTCCACACGGCAGGGACGCCTCTCCCGGCCCTGAGGGCAGCTTTAGCCAGAGCTGTTGCCACCCCATGGGATTTTCTACTCCTTTTTTGAGACCAAGAAAGAAGGAACCGAGACTGCTGATTTTCAGACACAAGAAAGGCTTGTGCTCTTCCCAGAAAGAAAGGGTTATGGAGCCCTGGAAGATGCTCAGGGTGCAGCCAAGGCCCAGGGGTGCAGAGTGCTGAGTGAGCCACAAGTCATACCCTGTCATCTTTGAAAAATACCTGAATCACACCTGAGCAGCAAAGCACTGTGGTGAGGGGCTGGTTCCATGTTAGGGGTTGTAGCTTTATTTTTGATTATAGGAACTCACTGGGTCTTCTCCAGCTGAAGATTTGCCTTCAACAAATGGGGGATTCTAGTAGCCACCGCAGGGTTGCTGGGAGGGCCCCCACGGTACCTGCGACCCCTGGGGAGTGCCAAGCAGGCTGGCCCCGGTACTCACTGTTCCCGCTTACTCTTTGCAGGGGTTGGCATCTGCACATCCTTCCTGGGCATCTCATGGGCACTGCTTGACTACCACCGGGCCTTGCGCACCTGCCTCCCCTCCAAGCCCCTCCTGGGTTGGGGCTCCTCCGTGATCTACTTCCTGTGGAACCTGCTGCTGCTGTGGCCCCGAGTCCTGGCTGTGGCCCTGTTCTCAGCCCTCTTCCCCAGCTATGTGGCCCTGCACTTCCTGGGCCTGTGGCTGGTGCTGCTGCTCTGGGTCTGGCTTCAGGGCACAGACTTCATGCCAGACGCCAGCTCTGAGTGGCTGTACCGGGTGACGGTGGCCACTATCCTCTATTTCTCCTGGTTTAATGTGGCTGAGGGCCACACCCGAGGCCGGGCCACCATCCACTTGGCCTTCCTCCTAAGTGACAGCATTCTCCTGGTGGTCACCTGGGTGACTCATAGCTCCTGGCTGCCCGGCGGGATTCCACTGCAGCTGTGGCTATCTGTGGGAGGCGGCTGCTTCCTTCTGGGCCTGGCTCTGCGGCTTGTGTACTATCGCTGGCTGCACCCTAGCTGCCACCGCCGGGAGCCTGAGCCTGACCAGGTGGATGGGGCCCGGAGTCTACTTTCCCCAGACGGATATCAGCTGCCTCAGAACAGGCGCATGACCCGGTTAGCACAGAACTTTTTCCCCAAGGTTAAGAATGGGGCTGCTTCGCCAGCGAAGGGAGAGGTGAACGGCGTCCTTTGAAGCAGGATTAGACCCAGCCAGCAGAGATGGACAGTGACTCCGCTGGCAGAAGGCAGGCGAGGATAAGCTAACGATGCTGCTGTGGGCTCCATGCACTCACCAAGAGTGGGACGCCTGTGCTGGGCCAGGCACCAGGGATGCTGCTGAGTGGGGTAGAGGCCTGCCTTCAAGGAGTTCACAGAGAACAAGATGAGAAGGGCTGGGCCCCGCAGAGTCAACAGCCCCAGTTAGGTCCAAGACACCTGGGGAGGAGAGACGACTCCCTTTTCTTTTCCCCCTGCCAGTTGGTATAGCCGGTGCCCCAAAACCTCCTTGGCTACCTCTAAAATCATTGGTGTAGGTGCTGCCCCTTAGCTTCCCTATCCTGGGCTAGAAGGCCGCAGCACCCCCAGGGGCCTGTCCTTCAGAATTCTTCCTCCCTTCCCCACACCACTCTTTCAATTCATGAAACAAATCTTCGCTAAGAGCAGTTTATGTGCCAGCAACATCATTCTATCCTTGCAGCCTGGAACAAGACCAGCCACCACCCTAGCTTCATGCCCTACCTGCACCAACCAGTCCTGGGTTAGATCTCAAATGCCGGAAGCTGGGGATGCCCAACTCTGGGTGACCCCAGTCAACCTCCAAGATCTCGGTGAAGCTGGCCTGGCCTCTGCTTCTGCTCTCAAGGGGCTGCTTTTCAACCAAGAGCCTTGTGAGCCTGTGTTCCGGGCCTTGCACAGCTACTGAGTATTTTTTATTCTTTAGCCAGTGGACCTCCTACCTCAGAGTCTATGTGAGGGGAAGAGAATGTGTGTGCCTATGTGTCTCTGCAAGTGACAGACGTGTTTTGTTTAACAGTATTATTAGGTTTTTAAAGCCTCATGAAATCCTCCAACCTAGTCTGTTATCATTAAACAAAATCATACTATGGAGTTCAGAGCCTGAACTGGAGGAGGTCAGAGACATAAAATCTACTTCTCAAAATCGATCAAGGCCCCCAGAACAGAGAGACGGCTGGCTCAGGTGGGGCTTCTCGACCTTGTTTTTGAAGTTTAAGGAGGTGGTGAGCCAGCGTGGGGTTGACAGCTCAGCTGGGGATCAGAATCCAGATCTGGGCTGACTTAGTGCATCCTCTTCACCACCAGCTCTGCTGCTGGGACCCGCAGGAGTGGCCACAAACATATTTAGGGCCAAGAAGTGAACGTAAGAGCCTGGTGAAGAAAGGTCTTTTTGCTGGGAGCTCTGAGAGGTTAAGTGATGAAGTGGCGTAGGGGATGTAGATGTGGGTGGGTGATGGTGCTGGGGAGGTGGAATCTTTTGCTGTTATAGGAGGTCTGTGGTTTGGAGAAACAAGAGAAAGAAACGTCACTTGAGATAGAGAAGAAAAGGTTCTAGTCACCACTGTGATGGGATTCAGGATAGTTTCAGTTCTGTTATTCTGCTGGAGACAAAAACCAGGATAAGTAAAACATTTAATATATTAGATAGTGTTAAGTGCTAAAAGAAAAAGGGAAAGGGCTAGAGAGTGAGTAGGTATTTGTGTGTTGGGGGTGGGAATTACAACTTTGTATAGAATGGCTGGGGAAAGGCTTCCTGAAAAACTAATAAGTTGGTTAGCAGTGACAGGTGTCTAAGTGTCAGGAGAAGGAGCAGAACCTGGAGTCACTGGTGGCCTGAACCATTGTCAAGGAAGGAATGGTGCAAACAGAATTCCACAGGAGGAAGAAGCCTTGGTAGCCACTCTGTTGGCCTGGAGCTAAAGATGACCCAGAGATGAAGGCTGGGGGCAGGGAGAGGATCTGTGAGGACAATGCTGGTGACTTTTACATACAAGCAATGGTTAGAGGCAGGAAGGATCCCGCAGACCATCCTGTCTAGACATTTTCAGACTTCTGAATATCATGAACCTATAAAATGGCCAACATGGCTGCAACTTAATTTTAACAAAAAAGGTCATTAAAAACTACCACCATTTATTTTCATCATCTCATAAAAGGATGTACCAATCTTAGAACAAAGGACCATTCTTCTAATAGAACACATATAAACACACACACCTGAAATTAATTGCAGGAGCAGATGGAGATGTTTACTCTGTGCTTGGAAATCAGTATCTCTAATATTTGTACTTACAATTGAGTAAGGATATAGCAGCTAATGGGTTTGCTTCAACTAATGTGTGGTTCAAAATCTGCACCTAGTGAGGAAAACATTTAATAACTAGAATAGGCAACCTTCTCTTTTCTAGGGAATTTTTGGAAAAATACATCTTATAGTCTGACATGTGTGGTGCTTCCATGGAAGCGAGAACCCAATTCTAATTTCCTTCACTGGGCTAAAAGGCAGAAAGGACTGTTTTCTAAACCAGTGGGGTACAGCCAGACCCCAATGAGACAAATGAAATGAGGAAAAGTAGTTGATGTGACATGAAATCAGGCCAAATCAAATGAGGTTTGAGATCAGTTTATCAGTTTTATTGCTTTTGCCATTTAAGCTCAGCATAGCAAGGTACTGATTTCTGTCAGTAATTAAATTTCAGCACATTTGGCAGTGAATGAAATCTTTTCTTGTTCTAAACTTTAAAAAGCAGTATGTTTTAGAAACAATAAATGCTCCCATGCAAATTATTTAAAAATATTTTCCCATGTATATTTATACGAAATGGCTTTGTTTTTATTTTTTTGGTAAAATGACACAGTTATTCAAATAGTAACATCTCTCCAATGAACTCTTTAAAACCTTTAATTAGGAAGCCATAATTAGGACTCCTCACAGTTGGGCAACTGGGCTGATCCTATTCAGAAAAGACACAGGAACAAACTATAGAAAATAAAAACTTTATTTTTTTCAAGTTTATAAGACAGTTCCCATTACATATAACATTATGGTCACGGATTCTACAGCCACGAATGCCCGCAGTCACATAAATATATCCAATCCGATCAATGCCTTTTCCTGCTAACAGGCATCTGCAGTCCAGAGGGAGAGTCACGTTTTGAGTAGAAGTCGTCCTTACTGGGAGGGCTCCTGTCAGTGCATTAGGAACTAGCCAAGGAGCCTTGCTTGCCAGAGCTGTCTGACTCAGAGGAGAGGAAGGGACAGATGGCCTGCTGACTGGGGCTGAGGCAGAACCAGATTCTCTCTCTTGTGGTTTAAGATATTTTAGAATCTCGAAATTCAGATCCTATAGTGTGAATATCTGGGGAGTTCTAACTTCTGGATGAAAAATGAAACCAATTTAGTGGTAAGAAATAGAAGCCTGCTTAAGAGGGACCCTAACTGCCTCCTTGAAGAGGAATGAGGTTTCAGAGGAAGACCCTAAGCTCACCACTCCTTGGCCCAGACCATTGCTCTACCCCATACTCCTCTCCCCCATGGTTCAGTGACACTGACACCCATTCAAGGTTGTGAACATCTAGAAGCTCCATATGCTGCAGCTGGAGTTTGTCAATTAGATTCTATCTGGAGCTTTAAAGCTGAGTTTGTGTAAACTGCGAACAAGCTGTGGCATCAGTCTCTTGGGACAACTCACTAGCTTTACAGAAGACAGAAACACCTCAAATCAAACAAAAGCTCAGATAGGCATCTAAATCTGGAGCAGGTGTCCATTCTTCTGGACACTACCAGCTGCCCCAGGGGCACTGGACAGGGTGTTGCTAAGGCACAGTCAGTTTTACATTCGAAAGTCAAGCCACCTCTTCAACCCAAGACACACCTCACTCCAAATCTACTACTAGAGAGAGCCCTCGCTGTGACATTACAGACCCATCTTAGAGAACCCATAGTGCCCAGCTGGGGAAGGACTCACCATTTCAGCTAATTTCATGAGGAACTCTTTCTAATGACAACTAGACCCACAGCATCCTTTAGCCCTCAGCTTCCAACAGCTCTTAATCCTACCCACTTAGTTTCCTTTCCAGATTTTTGTGTTGCAGAGGAGAAAAAGGGTATAATTACAGAGAGAGAGTACTGTGTTCCCCGATAATTCATTTTGGCAAAGAGCCAAGAAGCTCCTGTTTTCTGTTTTCCATCTGAATGAGGGTGGCAACAACCAGGAATGAACAGAGGCTGCTCCGTTCAGCCTCCTCACCTCTCTTGGCCAAGTTCAAGCTCCTTTTGGAAAGAGCTAAGCTAGGAAGTCAGGGCAAGAGGAAAAAGGCCATTGATAAAAGTGTGTCTAAGTTATATTCTAAGAATAAAGAGCTCCCATAAGGGTGGAGAGGGAAGTATTTGTGTGTGTGCTTGTGTGCATGGTGGGGGTACCACTCTGCAGCCTCACAAACCTGAAGCACAGGACCAACACCTGTGGCCTCTGTCCAGGACAAAAACCTAACAGCTATACTGGCATTAGGGGGAGGGCTTGAGGCCTCAGAGTAAAACCTGGAGCTTCCCAAGATCAACCATCAAACAAGTCAGAGCAGTATCTAGGCAATTCTGCTGAATACAGACCAACGGAAGGCCTTCCTCACACTACATCTCCCTCCTCCCAACCCCACAGGAAACAAGGCCAAAGAGGGAGCTAGGTAAGGGAGCACTGACTTCAGCTACTCGTCAAAAACTTACTCCTTAAAATGGTGAGTCATGAGCACTTTTCAATGAGTTCTGAAGGAATGTGTATACCAGCCTTTCTCTGTTGCTATCTGGGTGGCCTGGCATTGGAAGGAGTCTTGCCTCTTTGTGCTGCAGTATCTTTGAAATGGGTACGCAAATTCTCTGGCGACAAGCAATCAACAATGCCTCCTTCTGAGGACCAATCCTGCATCTCAATCTGAGGTGCTTATATCATCTCCCTCTGTGCAGCCTGGGAGAGGCTGAACTTCCTCAGCTCTAGGCAATTTTATCCTGCCTGAGCAGATGCCCAGATTGGTCTTGGAGGGCTGGGCTGGAAGGCTGTGACTAGTGCCTGGAAGATTGGCACCCACCAATCTTCCCAGAGGTGGAGAGATGCTCCTCATTTGGCCCAGGATTAAGTTTTGGGGCATGAAGTAGGGAATGACCCAGCACTCTCATCTAAATCAGGAAAGTTTGGCCAGGTGCAGTGGGTCATGCCTATCATCCCAACACTTTGGGAGGCTAAAGTGGGAGGATTGCTTGAGGCCAGGTGTTTGAGACCAGCCTTGGCAACACAGGGAAACCCTGGCTGTACCTACCCTCCCCCCACAATCAGCAAAGTCTTTCTGGTTTCCTACTGTAGAATGGGATTTGAGAAGCAGGGTGTTCCATGGGAAAACTTAAATACAGCAATCTGCTCTTCAGTTTCAGGCAGAGATCTGGGTAAATTTATGCCTGGGACACCCATATAGCTTAAGGGCTTCCAAAAAGGAAGTCAAATACATTGGTAGTTTTGGCCAAAATGTAGACATAAGCATGTTTTTAGATTTTATTTCAATTCTTGGGTCTAATACCTGGGGACTGGCCAGAGCTGCCTGGAGGTGGATATGAGGTGCAGAGGGCAGGAAAGGGGTAAGAACCTAGCATTATGATGACTAAGAAGGAAGAAGCTGCAGGGGTAAGCATCTGATTGGAAACAGGTAGAACCTTTCTGTCTCAAGAGCCAAAGAAGCTGAAATTCCTAAGATGCTTTAGTTGCTTCTTGCCAGTTTGGAAGCTAAGCCTCCAGGGATTCAGTCTGAAGGACAGTCAAACTGAAGGAGTTTTTGGGGTTGTGCCATTTGACTAAAGGGAAAAGGGACTGGAAAGAAGACTAAGGCTTCTAGATGGGAAATGGCCAAAGTTTAAAGTTACTCAGTATCCAGTGCCCCACAGTTTGCCAACTAGGAGATGAACAGGAAAGGAATCATCCTAGAGAGCGGACCACTGGAGCAGCTAAAGAGGTACTACCGCCACAGAGAGGTATTTTAGATATTTCAATTTCTATTTTCAAGACTTTACACC